TTTCATTTTTAAATGCAAATCTATACGACATATTATTTTTCGTCATCATTAATACATTCTTGAATATTGTTTTTGGTACGTAAACTCTTACATTATAAAATACGTGAGAAGCAAAGATAAGTCAACTCGGCGAAGGGTGATTTTCCCGGTACCTATTCGTATTCAACACAGATGGCTTCAAGAACGCAGAATGCACACAATATTTTTCTCGTATAGTTGATTTTAACAAATACACTCGACAAAAAAAAATTGTATCGAGAAGAATGAACTTTCAGCGATTTTTTCTCGGCAAAAGCGCGATTATATTTTTTGAGAAGTTTTTTTTGGTGAAAATTTTTTTTGGCTAGAACAGTTGGTAACGCACTCGGTTTCAGAATCAATATATCCGCGGCGATAAATCCAGTATAAAAATTTAATCTAGAATTTTTATCACGACTTATAATTATCTTATCGTGATTATTAATAAATACGAGATAATAGCTGCAATCAGCGGAATATTTATTTATTTGCGATAAATAAATAAAACGAATAAAATTTGATATAAATATAAAAACTTATTCAAGTGGAAGATTGAATATAGTGTGCAAAATAATAAAAAATATATAACAAAATTAAAAATTCTTTAAATTTATGTCAAATTGTTAAATATCAGCAACCGTGGATAAGTTTCCATGTCTAGTAAACGGACCGAGTTCGAGTATTGGAGGACGCTGACTTGACGATTGTAGGTGACTAAGACGGTAGGTGACTAAGACGGTAGGTGACTACAGGGGGTTACACGAGAGCTATCATGAATCGATTTACTGGTTCTGGACTCTGGATTGAAACCAGTTGTCCGCAGTGCTCCGATAAACGAAATATTATACCATTCAGTTGCAGAGTGTTTGCGGGTTTGATACTTTCGATCTGTTGGAAAAGACACGAATTATGACTGTTTGGCTTGGAACAACGCTTGTCGCGTTTGTCTTAATAATTGTCCTCTTGATGATCAAACAATTCTTCTGGAATCCTCGGCTAAAGAGCGTCAAAAACAAGCATGTTGTGGTAAGTGTGTCGTCCAACCTAGAAAAGGAACGCTTATTCATACAAAATTTATGCAAAGACAAATAAAAACGAGCTAATAAGAGCCGAGCGTTAGACAAATAACGTGGAAATAATAAAAATAATAAAACTTGGTTATTAAATAAGTTTATTAAGACGTTTCGGGCTTATTTCGGGCCATTTTCAGTATCTATATAGACACAGGAAAAATCATACAATAACAAAGATACATATATGTATAAGAAACTTCAATGCTCGGCTCTTATCAGATCCTTTTTTATTCGTCTTATATTGCAACATTTAGAGCCTTATCTCAATTTCGTCTGTTGACATTATGTGAAGAGTTATGCGAGAAGAAAAAGTCAGATTGTATATTAAATTGTTCTAGAGCTAATTCTTGAAATATAAATTTTTTTTATAGGTGACTGGTGGCTCCAGCGGCATCGGAAAGTGCGTAGCAATTATCGCTGCAAGACATGGGGCGAATGTCACGATAATTGCGAGAGATGTTCAGAAATTAGAGGCAGCCAAAAACGAAATATTACACGCTTGTGAGAACAAAGACGTACAGAGGGTGGAATATTTATCTTTGGATATCGGAGCAAATTATGAAAACGTTGAGAAAGCATTGACCGATCTCGAGAAAACCATGGGACCAATTTACATGCTCGTTAATTGTGCCGGTACCGCAATCTGCGGTAAAATAGAGGACACCACCGTGGATAATCTAGACAAAATGATACATATAAATTTGCTCGGTACATATTACTGCATAAAGGCCGTCGTCCAGAGGATGAAAGCTTCCAGAGAAGGAGCGATTGTGCTTACGTCGTCTCAAGCCTCTTTCCTGGGTATTTGCGTATAGATATCCCATTGATATTTATTATTACTTAAATAAGCGTAAATAAAGAAGAAATTGTATGTGTTTATTGCGCAGGTATTTTCGGCTACTCAGCTTACTGCAGCACGAAATTCGCGCTTCGCGGTCTGGCGGAGAGCATCGCGATGGAACTGCGGCCATACAATATTTCTGTGACTCTGGCCTTACCGCCTGACACAGACACGCCTGGTTTCGCCGTTGAAGAGCTGTCAAAACCACTGGAAACGCGACTCATATCACAAACGTCGGGATTAGTTAGGCCCGAAGTAGTCGCCGATAAGCTTTTCAGGGACGCGCTGGTTAGTATGCAAAAAGCAGCGAATTTCTGCGCTTGATTCCCTTTATTGTTAAATGGTAACGTATTGCAGGCAGGTAATTTCTTCTCGACCGTCGGTATAGAAGGTTTCATTCTGGCATCCTTGTGCTCGGGAATGTCACCGTTCAAATCGATCGGCGAGCTGTTGCTGCAAGCGTTTCTGATGGGATTGCTGCGGATCGTAGGCGTATTCTACCTCATCTCCTTCGACAAGATCATCCGGGATTGCTTGAGAACGCGTGATAAAAACAAAAAATCCGAGTGATTTCTCTCGTACTCTGCAATTGCCAACCAGAGATTAAGGTGTGATCTTATCTTTTTATTCCAAACCAAGGCATTTAATATAATTTCAAATCTTTACATACGATATGATCTTTTTTATGTGATATCATCAACATTCGCACAATTTACTTAGATTTATATATGTGACGTCTATTTTATTTGCTCCTCAATGAAATCTTTCTCTTTTCCCAATAACTCGTGAAAGATTATTGTAAGAATATACATATAATGTAATATCGAAAAATCCTATGTGTCTCGAGGAAGAAATAAAACACGTTCTTAACGGTTTGGCTTACTTTTATTAGATATCCCGTAAGTTCATAGTATAATGTTTTTTTTTTTCTTTTATTAAGCTTTATGGTTCTTACACACATAGAACGGGACCGTTCTTCGTCCCGCTTCGCCACGATTTAGTTTAAAAACGGAAACGCTGAAACATTCGTATGTAAAGAGTACTCCCATGAGACGTGGACGGTGCTCCGTTCGACGTCGATCGCGTCTGCACGCCATTGGTAAAAGATCAAAGTTGCGCTCGAGTTAGTCTCTTTCTCTCTCTCTCTCTCTCTCTCTCTCTCTCTCTCTTTCTAACGCATAATAAATCTCTTTCCGCATTCGTGTGAAATCCGAAATCCTGCAACTGTACCGTGCAACTGCGATCGGGCGCCGAGTGTGAGCGTGTCCGCGTCCAGCTTCCTAAACTCAACTTATGCGTAGAAACGGCGGTCAACGAAGATTTGTGTCTCTCTCGAAATTGCGAAAGTTCGATAATGATGGGTTTAACATTGATTTATTATCTCGCTCTCTCTCTCTCTCTCTCTCTCTCTCTCTCTCTCACGTTTGACTCGATATTCCTACTTGCGGCGTATTACATGAGCAATTTATCCGATTATATCTGAAGGATCTGTCTGAAGGATCTTCCAAGTTGGCGGAGTGGGTAAACGTATCCTTCGTATCTTCCGCTTTAACCTGGCCACCAGGAGCGAGTCCCAGGACGAGGTGAACGATCGCCACAGGGTGGTGGTACGTGACCTTTTGCACGAAGGATAACGGCAGGGACGAGGTGGGAAAGGGGCGGTTTGCGCTATGGTAACGCGGGGGTGAATGCACGTACTCCAGGGGGCTTATCCTGCAACTTTTCGACGCATGCGTTTCGTATTCCGGAAATGTTCGCAATGCGTGACGTCATTGGTGTCGCGTCGGATTTGCGTACTCTCTTCGGTTGTCTGTGATACCGATGAGAAAATCGTATTTCATAAATAACATCGCAATGCAATTATCAGTATACATGAAAATAGTAATATTTGGACTGCGTTAACTGTTGCGATCGTTGAGCCGTATCAATCTTGCACAAGCGGGTTATTAATCCGTAATAAATTATAAACTGAAATCATTGAGGTCAACCGTTGCGGCTTTAGTAACATAATGAATGCTGTTGCACTGATGATTGAGACCTCGTGGATATATGTAGTTATATTCATACATATACATATAGATATACATATAAATATACATATATTACAAATGAAAATTATTGTTTTTTTCTGGATTACTCTCCTTTTTGTGTTTCTTTTGCCGATGTTAAAGAAATATATAATAATTTCAAAAAAACAAATATATATATATATATAATTCATTAAATAGATCTATTTGTAACTTTTGTATTGATAATTTTCATTTTTAAATGCAAATCTATACGACATATTATTTTTCGTCATCATTAATACATTCTTGAATATTGTTTTTGGTACGTAAACTCTTACATTATAAAATACGTGAGAAGCAAAGATAAGTCAACTCGGCGAAGGGTGATTTTCCCGGTACCTATTCGTATTCAACACAGATGGCTTCAAGAACGCAGAATGCACACAATATTTTTCTCGTATAGTTGATTTTAACAAATACACTCGACAAAAAAAAATTGTATCGAGAAGAATGAACTTTCAGCGATTTTTTCTCGGCAAAAGCGCGATTATATTTTTTGAGAAGTTTTTTTTGGTGAAAATTTTTTTTGGCTAGAACAGTTGGTAACGCACTCGGTTTCAGAATCAATATATCCGCGGCGATAAATCCAGTATAAAAATTTAATCTAGAATTTTTATCACGACTTATAATTATCTTATCGTGATTATTAATAAATACGAGATAATAGCTGCAATCAGCGGAATATTTATTTATTTGCGATAAATAAATAAAACGAATAAAATTTGATATAAATATAAAAACTTATTCAAGTGGAAGATTGAATATAGTGTGCAAAATAATAAAAAATATATAACAAAATTAAAAATTCTTTAAATTTATGTCAAATTGTTAAATATCAGCAACCGTGGATAAGTTTCCATGTCTAGTAAACGGACCGAGTTCGAGTATTGAAGGACGCTGACTTGACGATTGTAGGTGACTAAGACGGTAGGTGACTACAGGGGGTTACACGAGAGCTATCATGAATCGATTTACTGGTTCTGGACTCTGGATTGAAACCAGTTGTCCGCAGTGCTCCGATAAACGAAATATTATACCATTCAGTTGCAGAGTGTTTGCGGGTTTGATACTTTCGATCTGTTGGAAAAGACACGAATTATGACTGTTTGGCTTGGAACAACGCTTGTCGCGTTTGTCTTAATAATTGTCCTCTTGATGATCAAACAATTCTTCTGGAATCCTCGGCTAAAGAGCGTCAAAAACAAGCATGTTGTGGTAAGTGTGTCGTCCAACCTAGAAAAGGAACGCTTATTCATACAAAATTTATGCAAAGACAAATAAAAACGAGCTAATAAGAGCCGAGCGTTAGACAAATAACGTGGAAATAATAAAAATAATAAAACTTGGTTATTAAATAAGTTTATTAAGACGTTTCGGGCTTATTTCGGGCCATTTTCAGTATCTATATAGACACAGGAAAAATCATACAATAACAAAGATACATATATGTATAAGAAACTTCAATGCTCGGCTCTTATCAGATCCTTTTTTATTCGTCTTATATTGCAACATTTAGAGCCTTATCTCAATTTCGTCTGTTGACATTATGTGAAGAGTTATGCGAGAAGAAAAAGTCAGATTGTATATTAAATTGTTCTAGAGCTAATTCTTGAAATATAAATTTTTTTTATAGGTGACTGGTGGCTCCAGCGGCATCGGAAAGTGCGTAGCAATTATCGCTGCAAGACATGGGGCGAATGTCACGATAATTGCGAGAGATGTTCAGAAATTAGAGGCAGCCAAAAACGAAATATTACACGCTTGTGAGAACAAAGACGTACAGAGGGTGGAATATTTATCTTTGGATATCGGAGCAAATTATGAAAACGTTGAGAAAGCATTGACCGATCTCGAGAAAACCATGGGACCAATTTACATGCTCGTTAATTGTGCCGGTACCGCAATCTGCGGTAAAATAGAGGACACCACCGTGGATAATCTAGACAAAATGATACATATAAATTTGCTCGGTACATATTACTGCATAAAGGCCGTCGTCCAGAGGATGAAAGCTTCCAGAGAAGGAGCGATTGTGCTTACGTCGTCTCAAGCCTCTTTCCTGGGTATTTGCGTATAGATATCCCATTGATATTTATTATTACTTAAATAAGCGTAAATAAAGAAGAAATTGTATGTGTTTATTGCGCAGGTATTTTCGGCTACTCAGCTTACTGCAGCACGAAATTCGCGCTTCGCGGTCTGGCGGAGAGCATCGCGATGGAACTGCGGCCATACAATATTTCTGTGACTCTGGCCTTACCGCCTGACACAGACACGCCTGGTTTCGCCGTTGAAGAGCTGTCAAAACCACTGGAAACGCGACTCATATCACAAACGTCGGGATTAGTTAGGCCCGAAGTAGTCGCCGATAAGCTTTTCAGGGACGCGCTGGTTAGTATGCAAAAAGCAGCGAATTTCTGCGCTTGATTCCCTTTATTGTTAAATGGTAACGTATTGCAGGCAGGTAATTTCTTCTCGACCGTCGGTATAGAAGGTTTCATTCTGGCATCCTTGTGCTCGGGAATGTCACCGTTCAAATCGATCGGCGAGCTGTTGCTGCAAGCGTTTCTGATGGGATTGCTGCGGATCGTAGGCGTATTCTACCTCATCTCCTTCGACAAGATCATCCGGGATTGCTTGAGAACGCGTGATAAAAACAAAAAATCCGAGTGATTTCTCTCGTACTCTGCAATTGCCAACCAGAGATTAAGGTGTGATCTTATCTTTTTATTCCAAACCAAGGCATTTAATATAATTTCAAATCTTTACATACGATATGATCTTATGTGATATCATCAACATTCGCACAATTTACTTAGATTTATATATGTGACGTCTATTTTATTTGCTCCTCAATGAAATCTTTCTCTTTTCCCAATAACTCGTGAAAGATTATTGTAAGAATATACATATAATGTAATATCGAAAAATCCTATGTGTCTCGAGGAAGAAATAAAACACGTTCTTAACGGTTTGGCTTACTTTTATTAGATATCCCGTAAGTTCATAGTATAATGTTTTTTTTTTTCTTTTATTAAGCTTTATGGTTCTTACACACATAGAACGGGACCGTTCTTCGTCCCGCTTCGCCACGATTTAGTTTAAAAACGGAAACGCTGAAACATTCGTATGTAAAGAGTACTCCCATGAGACGTGGACGGTGCTCCGGTCGACGTCGATCGCGTCTGCACGCCATTGGTAAAAGATCAAAGTTGTGCTCGAGTTAGTCTCTTTCTCTCTCTCTCTCTCTCTTTCTAACGCATAATAAATCTCTTTCCGCATTCGTGTGAAATCCGAAATCCTGCAACTGTACCGTGCAACTGCGATCGGGCGCCGAGTGTGAGCGTGTCCGCGTCCAGCTTCCTAAACTCAACTTATGCGTAGAAACGGCGGTCAACGAAGATTTGTGTCTCTCTCGAAATTGCGAAAGTTCGATAATGATGGGTTTAACATTGATTTATTATCTCGCTCTCTCTCTCTCTCTCTCTCTCTCTCTCTCTCGCTCTCGTTCTCTCGCTCGTGCACTTCATATCGCGTATCATTAACTCTCGCTCCATTTATCCCATTCGCTCCAATATTCTTCGTTCTTTCCTCGGCATCATCTCGTAGATTCGTTAAAGTCTATTCTTTTCTTTTTTCTCGTTAACCCTAAAGCGCTTAAGGTGTACAGATGCGAATCCATGAGACGAGGCTTGGCTTCGAGGAATATCTTCAGAGTGTTTTGCTGTTTTTCTTCTTTTAAAACTTACGATTAACTTTAAATCGATGTCCGCTTATTTGCGCGCTCGACAAATTCTACCTTCTTGCTGCGATTTCGTGACTTCTCTCAATCTAACTTTTACGGTTAGACGGTCACAAATCACCTTCGTCGAACGTTCGAATCGGCAGACATGTTGCGTTAACGATTAATTAGACCCCTTACTACAGTGTGATCTGTCGCGTGCTGTCAACCAAACGCCCGTTAACGTAGGACCTCATTTTTAACGTTAAAAGGACGTTGTCGAGCTCAATTGCTCGCAATTGATTTATTGAAGCTCCTGATTTACGATGTCGATCTCTCTTGCACGCGCATTCATCCGAAATAATTTTCGCGTATATTTTGCTAAAGATACGAACGTAATAATCCATCGTCGATAACGTAATACTCGAATCGTACATTCGGGAACTTCAATGCTCGTATGCATAATGGCATAATTGCACGATGCATTTCCTCGCGAATGTCATCAGTGACGCGTTAACGAAGTATCCGCCGTCCCGAGGGTGTCGATCGACGACAAATAATTCTTCATTCGCTCTTTTAACCCTCCACGGCCGAGAATAATTACCCGCTCGGACAAAAAAGCGAACCGTTCATTTCTACATAGAGCACTGTATATATCAAGATCAAAGATTTATTACATTTATATTTGAAGAGAGAGAGAGACACCCAGGTCGTTCGCGCTTCCAGATAAAAGCGATAGAGGGTTAAAATCGCAATAATCATTTTACATATTTTTAATCATCATACAATTTTCACAGAGCCATTGCTATTTTCAATGTTTGTTTAAAATGTCTCCCGACATTTCGTTCCGTCGCCATACTCGAAATCGATTTCCGATGACCTGTTTCTTTCTCTCTTTCTTTCTCATCTGCAGAACTGCGCAATCGATTTACGGGACGTTTTCTCGTCTTGAGGTAAAAAAAAAAAAAAAAAAAAAAAAATTTCGAGATCGCTTGATGGCGCGGCAACGCGGATGGATCACGTAGGAATTGGAATTCCCGCGACTGATAGAGATCTATTTCTGGGTCACCGCGTTTTTCACCCGTCTTTCATCTTTCCGATGACGACGGTGTCGTATCGCCTGAACGCGAACATCTCTCGTATATAGCCTACTATCTCGGAATAACATCTAACTCGTGTTATTTACGCGTAAGAGCACATCGACGTACTGTCAGGACGGTCACAAACATCACTCTCGAGAAACAAAGCGTTCACTTCGAAATTCGTACCGCGACTCTCGGGAATCGGCGCGCGTTTCTGCGTCGACTGAGCGCGGATCGATCGGAGAAGATTCCTAAAGCTCCCGGATTCGCGTATCGTTATCGAGTCGCCACGAATTTATCCCGCGTCAAGCGTGAGATGCGAAAAATTTATTTACGATACGAATGCGTATCGCGAAGAAAGAAAGATTTCGCATGATCGTAGTGAGGATCCGGGAGCTCTAATACAGCGATCGAAGAGCTTGCAGAAGAAGGTATTTTTAGCAAGTTCTCTTCGTTCCGTTCTCCGACGATGTGTTTCGAGAAATACTGGAAATAAGTAGATAAGCCCGCGATCGGCAACGTCGAACGGAAAGAAGTATACGCGACACTTAAGGACTACAATAGATTTTGGTACAAAAATTCAATGCTGTTCTACATTAGAATTAGATTTCAAGACGACGTTTCTCTCTCAAACGGATTTTTTTTTTTTTTTTTTTTTGTCGTTATCTCTGATCGAAAGGATTGAGAGAATTATGAGTCTTAAAACGCATTTGTAAAGTTGAAATTTCAAATAAATCAGAAAGAAAAAGAAGCGAAGATTATCCTCCTTTTCTCTGTCAATCGTCAAAGGTCGGCGCTTGATAAGAGGATTTTAAAGGATAAAAGAGAATGGAGAAGTCACGCGTTAATGATTTTTTTTTTTTTTTTTCGTCGTCCCGCCGTCTCGTTATTTTCTTCTCTTTAAGTTACCTCTTCTTTTTTTGTGGTGAAGCAAAAGGGCGACGGGGACGAGCGCGAAATTGCGTTTCTTCTTCCACCCCGCGAGGGGGAGGCCCCTGTCAAAGCGAGAAAAAGAAAGATCGCGAAGAATGTAATCGCGGCAGCGGCCTCGCGCGCAAGATTGTTTTCAGATCTTTTCGTCTGTGGTATCAGGTGAACCTCGCGAGGCGCGGGAAGAAGAAAAGACGGAAACGATATAAGGATGCACCGCATCCCCGATCGACCCTTTTTATCTTAAAATGTGTCATTCGACCAACGCCTTGGTACACGTCAGTCCAACGAACTTCTCTCAATGTACGCGTTTAGATGTGCGTATGTGTGTGTATGTGTGTGTGTGCTGCGTATATATGCGTGTGGCTTATTTTCCTCTCGCTTTCGCATTCCCTTTCATGCCGTTTTTCTTTCAGTCTTTTCGTCGCTCTCGCTCAAACAAACTCACACACTCTAAAGCCGTACGTTCGCATCCGAGCCGCGTATAGTATTACAGTCGCTCGCGCATTCACCCCGCCTGGCTATTATGTCCGACAATATATCTGCATTTTTATATCCATTAGTTTTCCCTTACGCTAGGCATTAATTAGTGTGTTACATCTAGTCGCGTGTGGCCGGCCCGTGCTATCCACGAGCGCGCTCACGGAGAAACGTGCGCGTTCCGTTTTCCTTTCGCACTCGGACACACCGGCGTGCCATGGAAAAGCGTGCGCGCCGGTGCTTGAGTTCCGCTTCCGATCTTCGCGTGACTTTTCTGTTAATCTCCAACGGTAAGCTCCGACGATCTACTCGAAGAATCTGTCGCGCATGACGCGATAAGACACGTCTGTTTAAAACAAAAGTCTCTGAATGGAAATCTAGGATAATATCCCGGACGACGCGTGAAGATCGTACCCTAATAATTTTCACATTTCGATCACGAGATACCCGCGAATGTTCGAGAATCGAAATGAAAGTCTCGGACGATTTTTTGAGAACATCGTATACATATATATACGCGCGGCATCTTTCTTGTTTTTTTTTTCTTTTTCTTTTTGATCGAGAAAATCTTCCTTCTTCTGCGATACCCGAACCGGTTAGCACAGGCGGCCAGACCCATTCCAATGCGTGTGTTTTACGATCCGAAAAATTACACAGTAACGTTATTTAGTTTATTTTTTTTCTTGTTTCTTTAGTGTGTAACACGTACGGCATATCATTAATTAACGTTACGTTATTTATATGCTATATTATGTTATTTACAATCACATGAATCGTAGATATTCTAACGAATCGTTCGTCTCCTGCTGGTGTCCTCGTGTTTTACGATGTATATTTCTCTCTCTTGTCTTCTTCTTCTCTCTCTCTCTCTCTCTCTCTCTCCTTTTCTCGTATCTCTCGTATATCTCTTCAGGACTTTCCCTCCAAAAATTGTCTCAACGAGAATTTACGCCCTATTCGCTTTATATGCGCCCCTCGTTCGTGCGAGCTGAAACTTGTTCAATATTCAACACCCATGTGCAACGTATTTGCGCGCGTACACATATACATATATATATTTCTGTTCGTTTGTATATATATATTTATATATATAGATTTATTTATATATATAATATTATAAAAAACAGTATATTTCTTCTAGTACACTTGCGAGAAGAAAGCAAATTCGCGGGGGGCGCGTGGGCACCCACCGGAAAGCCGTACGCTCGTTCGCTAAATTATACAACCGATCATGCTCAGAGGCAGCACGCCGCGGGCCAAAACCGTCGTTAAAATACGCGGAATGTTATCAAAAGGTAATTACCGAAAGTATCCTATTATTAAACACCTATGAAACATTCAATAATCCATTAAAAAATCCATCAAAAAAGAATTAAAGTAAAATACCTATAAAACTTGTGTAGATTATATTATACGCGTATATTTGTAAATCTTTTATGTAGAGCAAATATCTTCCATACATCGTAAACGTGAATAATCATTTAATAGGGAAATAGCTATCTTATTAATTTCAAGAAAGAATAAATTTTATATTTGAATATTAAAATCTCTTTGGAATGTTTATAAATTTCTTCTACATTTCTAAAAAATCTTCCAATTTTCTATAAAAACGCGATATTCTCGCGAAATATCGAAACCATGCGCAAATGAACAGTGGATCAGTGGAAAATGTATCGATTTGAGCGGCCCACGTCGCGGTAAATTAGCCTGTGCATGCGCGGATGTATGATATTATTTTGATCAGCGTGTGTATACTCAATGCGCTTTAATACTAAAATATTGATCGCGGATCGTCTCAAACCGCTTGTCGCCTTTGCACGAAGTTAAAGTATTTATAGAGGCAGTGATAATTTTCGTCGCGACATCTCGTCTGGCCTTATGTTCTCTCGGTCGATGAACTTTAAATAAAAATTATTCATATTAAAAGTGATGATTTATTCCGTCTATATATATGTCGAATCTGTCTTTGTGCTGGAAATATCGCGCGACTAATTTGAATTTGATATGGCAAGAGGTCGCTTGATATGAATTCTTTTCTTCGGACCGAATATTACCGTCGTCGTGTTATTAACACCAGTAATATTTTTCATCTTCCAATAGAATCGTTTTATGTTTAGATTCTTTCTATTTTTCCTCACAGGTTTGTTTCACAAACCACTTTGGAACAGATCTGCTGATCGATAAATTTAAAAAGATTCTAATCGCTTTTGAGCGCATGTCGACAAATCATCTAAGAGACAATAGTCGAGATTCGCTCAATCTCAGGACGATCCTAGATCATGCGATAGACGTCGAGTATAGACACGCTTGTTATAATCAGTCGCTATCGAATATAATAAATCACATCGCATTTCGAAAATTCATCGAACAAGTTTCAATTCTATTCGAGCGGCGCGGACGAAGTTTTTCTGTTTTTTCCCATTCTCATAACGGTTCTTTTTCTTCTCGTCACTCATCGAGGTTCCACTTTCTCTCTCTCTCTCTCTCTCTCTCTCTCTTTCTCTCATTGACGTTTCATTCCTACATATATTTCTCGTCACATTATCGCCTTCTTGTAACGGGCGCTACGAAACTACCCAACGCCCTCGCGACAAGATCTCGCGATCATTTTTAGAGCGCTCCTTTTTGAGATTTCGTAACTTTCTACCGTGTCGGGCTAACACAAACGGGAAGTACGTGAAACAATTTTTCAAACGTAAAGGCACAAAGGCGAACGCGTCTTAGAAAAAGCTGTACGAATAAATTCCAATAAAGTTAATGATTATTTTAGATAAAGTTTCTAAAAAATGTATTATAAGATTAGTAAACAGAGCTTTATGCGCGCGTAAAATTGTCATTTTATCCGCGACCCGTTCCTTACTAAAAATTTTTAAACGCGTTCACGGACCACCCGTTCGTTTTATTCAAACTCGACCTAATTTATATTTTCGACAGCGTCAAAAATTTCATAGCTTCTTCAGCACGTATAATTCTCGCAGCAATTTAACAAGAATTCATATAATTAACTAAGTCCTAATTTCTAACGGCCGGATCACTGTCTCGATAATCGAGATAAACCTCTAACTCTTACTTCGAGAAAAAACATACTACCACCAGAATCATTATTCTTCGCCCTTTCTCTCTCTCTCTCTCTCTCTCTTTTTCTCTCTATCATTTTACCTTCCATCTTCCTAATCCTGTCACCCTCGTCTTTTTTGTTTCTGATCTCGGGAAATCGGTCCGCAACATCGAGGATCTCTTCTCTCGAGGTAGTCGGGGTCTCGTAGCAGGAGATAATCGATTATACGCGTATACCATCCTTGCGGTCTTGCCTGATTATCGTTCCGTCGCAAAGTAAGATGGATTTTTCGAGTAGAGAACCATAAGGATCAGAAGAACGAGGACGAACGGGCGGCTACCGTGACTCGAGTACAATGTTACCACTCCTGCCAGCCACCACAGAGTGGGACAACCACCCGGCGCTGAACTGATGCCTCTCTGAATTGCCGCGGGATGTTCCCCTAGAAAAAAAAAAAGACGTCCGATATATATGCATCACGAAACAACAATGGAGTGAGAGTAAAGTCAGCCATGAAAACTGCGATCCGTATTCGTGCCGTACAATTGTTACATTTCTCATTTTTTAAGCGTTTTGTAAAAGTCTGTTCGTGCGTATTAAAAGATACGACAGTGCATGAATTATATATGAGAAAAGTTTACATTTTTAGAAAAAGAGAAAAAGTTCGGAACTCTGCCCTATTTTAATTTTAATTTCTACAGACAATTTTTTTTTCCTCTCCCCAAAGTGAGATGAACTGTTCCACTCACCGTTTAGCACGTGCAGCTGCACGCTCGCGCTATCCAGGTTACTCGGGCTGCAAGTATAGTTACCCGAGTCCTCTCGTCTCGCGTTGTGAATCACGAGGCTGCTCACTGTATCTTGTTCGATCCTCTTCGTCTGAATATCGATCTTGCCCAACTGATAATTTAGAACGCGATCGCCCTCGTGGTACCAGAAAACGTAGAACGGGCCCTCGAGGGACTGCTTTATCACGCATCGTATTGCGACTGTACTTCCGGTCTTCACGTACATGTCACGGTCCCCCAAGATCTCGATCTTTGGCACTAGAACACGATTTTGATATTCGATTATTTAATATTTCCATTTTTTTTTCTTTAAACTGATGAATAATCGATTTGATATTCCCGCTTTCGACTCACCGACGATATTGAGCTTGATGATGTGACTTTTCTTCGGGTCGGTCGAGATTTGGCACTCGTACTCGCCTTCGTCGCGTGCTTGGACATATTTCACTTGCAGCGTCCACGTGTCCGCCTCCCCGAAAATTGCCTGGAACCTTTCGTCCGGAATGAACATGGTTCTATCCACCGAGAGGATATGCGAATCTCTTCTTCTGATCCAGGAAACCTTCGAATTGATCGAAATTAATTGCTGTCTTAAATAAAATTCTCACATTAAATTTTTCATTAAATTTTTCACATGTATAAGATTTTTTTATAATTATTTGGCAATTACCGGTCGTAAAATTAAGTTTTATTAATTTGCATCGAGATTTGTCATTTCTTATCTTCCATTTTTTATTACGAAACAAATGATCTTCAAGATTTTTTTCTAAATATATCTGAGACCTTTTACTCTCGTTTTCATCAGCCTTCGTTCTTCTAATCACATTAACTTGATCTCAGAATCATCAGACTGTCGCGTCATTATTCGCAATTGAGTGGATATCGAGAGAGGCGGAAAAAGTTGAAGTTGCGTATAAAAAGCTTGGCAAGTATAAGGAGCAACGGCAAGATACGGCCAAAAAATAAGGAAGGTTACATTCCGCTTGTTCCGATTCCGGACGATCAATCTTCCGCTTCCTCGTCGCGTAGTTAATTTATCGTTCATCGACCGGACGGCTCGCGCGCGCTCGACGGAAATCTAGATAGTGCACAAATACGGCGGCGGCCCGTGTCGTCGAAAAACGAAGGTGAGGTACGAATATACATTTAATTCGCCGGCCTGATAAGGATCGAGGTGGCGACGACGACGGCGGCGACCCTTAAGTACGCGCTGTGAGATTATACGAGAGTCGCGTGTTACCGGATACTTAATCCCCGACCGCGTGCCAACAGACGACAGGTGTACACCCTGTATACTCGAGTACAAGTACTCGCCTGCGTACACGTTGGAGAAGTTCGTTAACGAGGGGACCACCTTTGAGCGTACTCTGCGTGCCAACGGGAATTACGCGTCTGATGACGACCACCCCACAAAATCCCGCTCCACCCCTCGACACGAGTTTCCGATTACCGTTTCGCGATACGGGTTACGGGAGCGTGCGGAAAGACCGGATGAAACGCGAATCATTAACAGATTGGCGTTTTATTAGCGAAGTAAATTGATCGGACGATGGTAACCGCGGTCGCAATTCACGATTTAATAGCACGAGACACGTGGGCGGGTTATCTGTCGCGGATAGTTATCCGTCACAGGAGAAAATAGGACAAGTCTCGCGCGCGATAGCGGTTATAAAATATTATTAATCATGTCGTTGTAGTTTATAGGCCATAGACTTTGAACAGAACCGGTTGCGAGCTGCCCATGATCGGCGTTTCTTTTCCGGGATGTTAATGAAAAAAAAAAAAAAAATGATGAACCACGGAAATAAGTCTTATCGCTTTTTGTGTATCGATCATAATCCCCTGAGAGCTTGATGTTAATAAAATAGAGATCGAGATGTGGGCACTTTTACATTTGCATGTAAATAAATTGAGCTTGTTTGAAGAAAGGCGACGAAATGGTATTCAAGTGACATGAATACAAGGGAACAAAGTAATTGTCTTTCGAACTCTCTCTCGTGCTCGATTTAGTTGTAATAATTTATCCGTGTTTCTTTTCACGTTGTTATCGTACCTCAAATAGAGTCCCATTGTCAAAAAACTGTCAGGCAGGAATTTCGCCATTACGCGCCGATATCCGTCAAATAAGCTCGTTAATAAATCAAACTGTCAATACACGTAACATATGAGGCAACACCCTCGATCTATTAAAGATGCGGGAAACGATATGACAAGGACAAATTAGGTCTCAATTCAAAGGCGCAATGACAGCTGTATTGATATGTATGAGAATCCGCGTTACCTTTACGTAAGATAAAGATAATAATATATGAAATATAAGACGTGAAAACTGCTGTGAGGGTCTCATGCTGTTAAGACATTAATTTTAGTTTGTCAGAAAAGTTGGAAACATCCTCAGATTTTTATTTCCGATGCTTACAGTTTTTTTTTAGGTCGACGCTTTAATTATATCGTCAAATAACTTACTGATTTGTTACCAAGCTGCCGCACTTTGCACGGTAGGTAAGCGTGAGTGCCCAGCTGCGCTGTGATATTCGTTGGAGTGTTCGAGTCAAAGTAAGGCCCCGTGTAAATCCCGTCGAACCTCTTCACCAACGAATGAGATCTCGTACTCACTCCTGCAAAAGAAACCCCGTGCTCTCAGAAAGAGTGTCTCGCGTGTGTATGCCTCGGTATCGTTGCGTGCAATCACGAGACGGAGAAACTTCGGGCGCAATGCGGAGATACGAACAAAATATGTATATATACCGATATCCTTTTGGCGAAACGAAAATCGCGAATGCGTGAACTGCGCGAATTATCGGCGTTGCATCTTTAAAACATCCGTATAATTTCGCCCGCATCGCCGTCGTCGGCGCACGTTATGCGGCAAATTAACATGGAAGGAATGACGTTAGCCTCGCAATGGAATAATAAAGTCGAGAGTCAGACCTCGGAGAAGAGACTATTCCGCATTCGTGCCTCGTATTCGTCCGCTCGTGCGCGCGCTATGCTATTCGGAATAAATCCTATCGCGAAGACTCCGCCAAGGTACCATCCCCAAGAGAAATGGATACTAATCCCGGGGATTCCGATCCGGGGAAATCTAAAGGCGAATGAGCATTCGGCGAGAAAGAGAGAGAGAGAGAGAGAGGAAGAGCGAAAGAGAGACATGGGCGTTTTTCCAACGATCTTGACGATATCATATCCGATCTAATGTTCGATCGGTAACGCGCGGCATGCTGCGGACTTGTCCGGTTTCGCACAGTCGTTACGGTGGCCATAATCGAGGAACGGTTGCCAGATAAGTGTAATAAATGATATCCTAAATCACGACAAAAGAATATTTTACGCGTATAGAAGCGTAGTTGACTAAATTAATAAATTGCTCTCTGTAAAGTAAATATTTAACTCATTTTATTTTTTCATCTTTCATTTCAATATATGTTGACTACATATTAATATATTATTTTATTAATTAGCAGAACTGGATTTGCTGACGTTATTAATTTCTCCGAGTCTTTTGAATTACGACGCAAACATGTGTCACGTTATCAAGATTTGTCAAAACTTTGACAAACAACAAAGCTGTTGATAATTACGCTTAATTAAGATCACGAGCGCGATAAGCGCGACGTGATAAGGAATAAATATTAAATCGCTCGTATATGATGCTAACCTCGCTCCACGCGGCTTATCGCGCATCGATTGTTCTACTTATGCGCAAGAAAATCACAGCCGCCGCAACGGCGTTAATTATTGTTTCAGTCAAGTTAAACACAGGGTAATGAATCATGAATTTATCTTGACGAATAATCGGCGAGCTAAGATAAACAATGGCGGTAAAATTTTCGTCCATTTGTTTTTCACATAATTTCAAACAAAGTTTTTCGTTATACAAATAGAAATTTAAAATAATTCCAACAAAAGAGAGAGAGAGAGAGAGTTATAAAAATTCCGAAATTATATCTTTTTTCAGTTTATCTTCAACTTTCAAAAAAAAAAAAAAAAAAAGAAAAAACCATTCCATTGTCTTATTGTCATGTATCGATTTTTTGCGACGATCCATATAATGTTCAGGAACAATCAAAGAGATAATTTTCATTATCACTCGCGATAAAAAAAAAAAACAATTTGCTTCATTATTCTAGTGGTAAAACACGTCATCCCGGAAACATCTGTATCCTCGTGATTTCGTAGCCGTCGAATCCATCCGCCCGACATATTTCCATAGGAAGGGCGACTAGATTGGCAATCAGCGCGCGACGACGAGGTCTGTATTGTCGAATGCGTCGTAGATACGAATCCGCGTTGAGATGAGGCCTCTTATCGGCCCTCCTCTCGCGCAGCCGATCCTGTCGATCTTGAGGAACGTAAAATCTGCGCAGCTGCGCGCACGCGCTCCGCGGTTAAGCTCTCTTTCGCCTCTCGTCACCGAGTTGAGATCATTTGCCTACCACGAAAGAGGGCACAAATATCGTACGCTAGTCTACGTCGCCCCAAATGTTTCTTTTTTTTTTTTTTTTCACGTCGACGTGTGGCGAGCCAAATTACGCGGAGATCGCGATAGTTCTTCAGGGGTGCGTAATAATCGCGTTTATCTCGAGATTAAATCAGGTAAAGAAACACTCCTCGCGGGCAGAAGTAAATCGGATAAAACGCGGCACAGATATGCATCATGTTGTGAAACGTGTAATTTCGCAATGTAATGGTCTGTAAAGCGTACACTCTCATTAATGAATAATCGAATGCGTTTATGTATACGCTAGGCGCGAATGCGATGACGAGCGTGGGCGCGACTGGCAGGTGCATTATTCATGTCGACGTTTTGTAAGTCGGATTGCGCCGACCCCGTCGCACAATCTCGTGAAGGGTGCGTGGAAAGCACGTACGCCCTGTTTATCGGGGATCCCGATAAAAACTGTAAAGCTCGGACGACAACGCGCTATTCTCGCGATCGTGCGTTATTTAAAAGTGTTGAAATAAACCGTATCGTATATTTCGAAAGCGTAAAACTTGGATATTTCTATGCGCGGTAAAGCGGAATCGCTTTAATCATTATCAAAAATCATTAAAAATCGTTCGTGTTTTCCGAAGCTCTCTGAATGAAAAAAAGAACAACAGAATAAAAAATAAAAGTGCTCGATAAATCTGTCAAGGAATGAAAACTATTATAGAAATCCGGAGAAATGCGGCTCTTTTGTAAATCTGTTATACTTTGCGCGACAATAAGAAAGTGTCTCGCCGATGCATCTCCCCGCTGTGTAATCGAGCGTGGGTGGAACGTGATCGCGAGAGAGACAAAGGAGGGGGGGGGGGGGGGGGGAC